TGACCTTCCGGGTTCTCGCTGACCAGCAGCCCTTCCCATTGGTCCACAGTCAGATTCTGTATTACTGCTAAAACTGTAACAGTCTGACATTCCCACCTGACGTGAAACAGGGTGGCTTTAGCTGAGCACGACGGGAAGAGAGGAGAGTATGCCGAGGATTGCATTGTACTTAGGTTGTGCAAATTTGCCTCCAGCTGACCGATTTCTCTTTATTATGATCTGCTGCTGTTTTTATATTTTGTTGTTATTATTAGTGTTGCTTTGCTTTCTTTTTCTTTCATCTATTGTGTTTTTTCTGCCCACCTCTCACGTAATGTCCCTCGGCACCCTCGAGGGACTAATAAACGGATAAATAAATTTAGTGTTTTGTGTGGCAGCAAATAAGCATGCGGAATTCATTTGCAGTAGTTCAGGATGGCCGAATAGCAAAAACGGCAATGAGTTCAGCCAAAAGCCTCGCAAGAGATTCTCTTTTCGCAAAGCGTGGGTGACAGACAGCCTGTGGCCGCCCCTTGGTCCCATCAACAAACGTATATAACCTTTCTTACATATATAACCTTTCTTTGAGTAGCAGTACCTGTCCTCGCTGCCTGAAAACCCCATTGTGACGTATGAGGGTGGATAGAAAAATAATTTTCATATATACAGGCCAATCTAAATATTGTCAATCATCACGAAGGGTCTTAGGATGTGTATATTTATTACGCTGTCAAAGTGTTTGATGAACATCATATAAGCGCACAATCACAATTTGGTTTCAGACCTGGAAACTCAACCCGAAGTTCTCTGCTTCGTCAAAAGGAACTGATAATTAAATACATAAAAGTGAAAACATTAATGTTTGGTGTTTTCTTATATTTCCCCAAGGTCTCTGATACCAAAAACCCTAAAGTGAAAAAAGTTGAAATGCTATGGCATTCACGGTGCGGGGTAAGTTTAACTGAAAGTTATTTAACTGACCGACGCCAGTGCGTGAAAATAATGAAGGAGCTGTCCCCACTTGCAAAAGGATCACATGGCGTACCACAAGGTAGCTTACCCAGCCCACTTCTGTTAATTATTTTTATAAACGAAATCACAGGAGCAGATACTTCGATAGAATATATTGTTTACGCAGATGACACACGTTTTTTTTGGAACGAATATCGACCACATTATATATTGGCAATTGACACATTTGTTATATTTTACACTTGGTTAGAAAAAATATCTTTACCAGAAAACTGATCCAAAACTAAAAAGGTGTTACTTTCCGAGCAAATTATGCACCACATCCTGTGCTTAATTCACCGTACCTAAATAATGCGAACGTAGAATTCTCGCGCTCTGCAAAGATGCTAGGAGTTGTGTTTCACGAACACATGCCAGGGAAGCATCCCATTGATTACATAAAAAATAGACTTCCTAGAGTAGTGGGAATCCTATGAAAATGGGAACATATATTTTCAGAAAAGAAAAAAAAAGTTATGTCATTACCTACTTATCCCCCACTTGTGCTACTGGCTTTAGTTAGATGTACTTGCACAAAAATAATTACATAACATTATCATAATATTTATCCAATGCGAAGCACCTTATGGGCGTTTTCAATCCGGTGTGCGGCGTTACCACCATTCCTGCGCATGCGCATCCCCTACCTCTCTTTCTCTCCTATTATACGCTTCTCCCTCTCTCGCCTCGTAACGCCGACGCAGGCAGCGTCTGGTAGCGGCCTTCTTGGTTTAAAAACCGACTGCTCGCGCTGCACAGCCGTTCACTGGACCCCCTCTGTTTACAGGCACTGAAGCATGACTTCCAAGGTAGTTTCGTTGGGAAATTTCTCCTGTGCGTTGTTAAAAGCAGGTATAAGCAGGATGTGTGTTAAATAAATTCTAATTATGGGTCTCTGTGTCCAATTGGTGTCTCTCATTGCCCATGAGTAGCAATTGACGTTTTGCAGCAAGAAACACTGGTTCCTCACTGCGTGCTTTGCTCCTCCCAAGGTATTTCTTGTGCGCAACCCCGTCCACAATCTCGTGGATACTGCGCAGTCCCGTTGATACCATAGTGATTTTTATTTTGAATTGTTTTCTTAATTCTTGCGATATTGGTTACGGACCCTGGCGGCTGCGCCGAAAAAACTACGGCGCTGCACGTGACCTGCGTTCTGATCTTATAATAGCTTCCGCTGTAAAACGCAGAGAAGAGCTTTTTAATAAAGGCAGCTTGCGGTAAACAGATCACCTGGATGCGCTTTGATATATCGTTAAGCGGACTAACAAGCATCCATTGAGTGCCATCTGGCTTCCCCGTGTCGATAGTGTGCTGAGTAAATGCAAAAAAAAACAGTTTAGTATTGCTTTTCGGGGTGAAATACTATTTGTCAGTAATGAAACTTTAGCAATAAATATCGAAGACCGAACTTTACTGTAGGTGACCGACTCTCCTATCATTTGACGATGCGATGCTCGATTGCGCATATAATATTTTATTCTACTTGCTTTAAACTGTAGATGGCAGTAAAAATGGGTAGTAAGAACTGTTTTACCAATTATTACATAAAACGCATATAAAACTGATTCGAGAAAAGGCACTGTACGTGCAAGAAAAGTGAGCTTGCTTTTCGGATTATTGGTGCAGTCAGGCCCGTTGAAATCGTGTGTGTGGTTTTGAAGGGCATTTTAATGCTGCGCCGTGATTTGCCGGGCAACACTTTTTTTCGTAATAGCAATGTGTTATGGTTTACATTTCACGTATGGTTAGCACGTCTATTTCTGTTCTCTTTTGTGGCAGCAGATGCATTCGGCTGCACACAGAAGGGCTCGAATTGTGCCATTAGGTGACGGAGTCGGTAAAACAAGAACTTAAACTCAGTGCAATTCAACCGCTGTAAACGGTCCGTGCAGTTCAGGTCAACTGTGCTATATTTCAAAATGGCATTGCTACATGCCAAATCTATAACTGAACAAGTTGTGGATATTTAACTAATTGACCGTCACCTGTATGGACCATACGCAAACGTGATAATTTCTTGTTTGTAAACATTGACGTGACTGACAAGCTGATTGTACTATTTTATGCTTCCCAGTAGCGTAGGCCGTAATACATGTATTCTTTCTTGTTTGACAGCTGGTGCTACTAAAGTAATGTAATGATTCATTGATATATAGGGTTTTACGTTTCAAAACCGCCATATGATTATGAGAGACGCTGTAGTAGAGGGCTCCGGAAATTCGGACCACCTTGATTTTTTCAACGTGCACCCAAATCTGAGCACACGGGCCTACATCGTTTTCACCCTGTGGAAGGCGCGTATTCGGGGGGGGGGGGGGAGAGCACCACTTTCATATCGGGAAGGGTACCCCCTTAAATTGGCCATTTTCGCTCTTTATGACATTACTAAAAACATTTGAAGGCGGGTACGTGCCTGGTGGCCACCCCCTGGCTACGCCCCTGCTCTGTCCTCACTGAGAGGCTCCAGCATGAAGCGCGTTCTTCGTGTCACAGCCCAAACACGAGCAAAACACTTTCGGATATGCGGACGACATACGATAAACAATTCGAGACATCATGGCTGGTGGAGTGAAATATAAAACTGCCCAACATTGCCAGCTGAGTACCACACATCACGTTTGCTGTTGTGTTGTGGTGTTTGTATTCCATTCGGTAACCGTTTATTCTACTACTCATTTCTTTCCGTTTTTTTTTATTTACGTCTGTTCACCACGGCAACAAAACCAAAAAAATCTATTTTTAAAAATTTTGAACCTTCTAGATTGCACTCCAAGAACATAAGCGAGAGGGTGGTCAGTGCTAACTTGGAAACTTGTTTTATCTATACCTTAGTGCGGGGCGTTTCCTCTCCGCTTCATCGGCAGTACTCCCGAGTTGGTTGGTTTTATTGCATGCGTATTCTGAGTGACGGATATGGGCAGGCTCGTTTCATATTTATTCCATCCGCGTAGATTATCCCCACGCACGTGCTTTTTCCTGCCTTAGAACGTACGATGCGGGGGCCATGTGATAATTTCGACTTGATACGGGACAGGACGGTGATGGCGACGGCGACGGCCAAAACACATCGAGAGTGTCCATGTAATTTCTATTGCAATAAGAAAATTTTCTCGTAGAACAATGGGGAGGTCAGAAACGTTAGCAATCTAATTAAGCCCACCAGCTCGGTAAAGAAATGTGAGCACCAGTACACTTCTCACAGACTTAAGCACGCCTTCAGATCTTCTAGTATAGCAACTGGTTGCACAATCACTTAGTCCGCCACGTTATGTCACGATGAATGTAGTCTCTAAAAACATTACTGGCCCTGATCTGAGCATTCGAGTTCAAGTTACGTCGTTATGACCTGAACTGACGATGATGGAAACTAAAATAATTGCGTTACTTAGCCCTAAATTGTCATGTTTCAATTCCACACTGATAGGCGCATGGGCGAACTGATCGGAGATTATTCTGCTGGGCACACTCAATACTAAGATTCTCAACAAATAGGTTTGATGAGAACATACATATATACATACATACATACATACATACATACACACAGACATACATACATACATACATACATACATACATACATACATACATACATACATACACACATACATACATACATACATACATACATACATACATACATACATACATACATACATACATACATACATACATACATACATACATACATACATACATACATACATACATACATACATACATACATACATACATACATATACACCAGTCAGCAAAAGTATGCGGACCACGGACGAGCATGCTGCAATGGACAGCAGGCTGCTCGCGTTATAGACAGTGCAGACGGCAATTTTGGCTTAAACTTCAGTGGCCCATCTACTTTTGCTCATGGATGTGCATACACACAAGACAGCGTGATTACTTTGACAATTGAGCGAAGTTGACTAGAAATAAGACGTCAACAATTAAAAGTCATAGCGAAGAAGGTAAACGAATTCTAAATGTGCGCTGCCACGCAAAACACTTACCGTAGAATGGCGTCACACGGGGCATTTCCTCTCGCCATAACTTTATCTTTCCTTCCAATTCACGTAGATCACAAACAAAGAAGGCGTCGTCTGTGTTCTGCGAAGGAAGTCTCAGTTACTAAACTTACAGACAGTTGTCGTAACACCAAGCATTTATTACGTTTAGAGTACTGCTACTTTTTAGCCACGCGTAACAAGAGTCCATCCACATATCCGAGCGCGACGCAAACAGGATCGGTCGTAATGAAATAATAAACATTGAATGATATAGGCAAACGGGGAATGAATAACCAATGAATTCTAATTAACAATAATTAATCTCGAGGCCCCTGCTGCAATGTCCACCATATTGATATTTTTAGCCCATAAAACACCTTATTTATTTTTTCAAGAAAAAATCGCACCTGATTCAATATTTGCATCAGTGGTTGAACACCTTCCCATTCTGCAAAAATAATCCAGAATTATTTGCTTTCATTAAAAGGAAGCTCATGACCAGTGGAATATACCAATTTATTATGCTGATGTTATATGTTTTATTGATTACCGCCATATTACGAATGGAACATTTCCCATGAACGAAAATGGATCAATAGGCTTTTTGGAAACTGATTTTTTCGGGCAACATCGCATATTCTATCCATGTTTAATCACCGAAGTCTATTTGCTCAGAATCTTGCGATAATGACTAGAGATGAGCTAAATTGCTTTTTTAACTGCGCTAGCAACACGGACAAAAAAAAGTGAACAGAAAACGTGCGCAGACTGGCAGCTGATGTGAGTCCTTGCACTCAGCTGTGACGCTCAGTTGTCAGTTTGCGCGGATGTGACCTTTCCGTCTTTAGCTGATTTGTTTCAAGTGCAGTTAAAAATCGCTTTTGACTAAAGTATACCTTTCAACTAATCTATGATGATGCCCTACTACGACAGGATATACACGCGAAGACGTGTGAATAATGGTGAGTGCGTGAGTTATTATATTGTTGATCGCTTTAAGGTGGTAGGCCACTCAAAAACAAAAACTCTTTAAGGGCAGGCAGCGTTTAAATGACTTTTTTCTCAAAACCAGCTTGTCTTATTTAATTTACCCAGCTATTTACAGTGCAAAATATTGAATATTTATTTATTGGGAGGAAATCTTTGTCAAAAATTGCATTAAAAGTGCTAGCCACGCCAGCTGGGATAAGTGACTAATGAATGTCTTTATTCAGTAAAGTTTTGACGTATGTGTAACTATTAGCTTGAGCTATGCAGTGAACTAGAATAAATATTATGCAGTGAATATCAAGGAAGTAATGCTAAAAAAACCCAAAAAACGGAAAAAAAGCCAATTTAGACTTAACCTGCTGGAGAATTCAACTGTGAACTGAAAAATATTCGATGGATTTCTTTTATTCTAGTTCACTGCACAGATATATATATATGTTGTAATTCATCGTGCAAAATTTCAGTTCAAAGTATACGCTGAAAAATACGTTATGAAAGTTTGCGTCGCAACATTTGGAGCAAATTGTTATTTTCAGAAAAACGCAACAAAGATTTCCGAGCTTGTAAAAAGGGTCACAATCTTCGCATGCAGGCCTAAAATGCACCAGATTCATAGTTGGACCCTTCTTCGGAATCATTATTGTCTCCTTTTGTTCGGGTGGCTGCTCGTCTTTTCTTCCTGGCCTGTTTTGTCCCATCCACTGACTTGCGTTTAGCATTCTGCATGCGCGGGTGATCCCTGGCGATGCAAGCTTTCGTCGTGTGATACCCTGGTTCTATGCCAGCTTGCCTCAGGATATCTAGGGTGCTTACACTGCCATTATTAAAGTGTGCCGAAGCATCATGCAAGGCAAACATTACTGTAGGCAAGCTTGCGTAGACCTATTTGGGTGCCTACTGCCATATTAGACCATTGAAACACTCATTATCATTTTGAGTCTTTCTATGCAGGCACTTCATTAGACGTTCATCAGAGCACAGATCACTGTAGACAGTTTTAACTCTGTTGAGCACATAATTTGGAAGTCCTCCTTTGTGTACATATTTCCCTTAACCGAGTGCTTCAACCCTTTGGTATCCGCACCAGCTTTTCGGTCCAAGTGGACACAGGCCATGTCTCGGCTGCTTGTCGGTAGAGCTGCAATGAAAAAGACTGGCAAGGGTAGCCTTTTTCATTGCAGAGAGGTTGCCCACATTAGCCCATATGGCAATGCTATAGTAGTTTTGCAGGCGGTCATTGAGGGCATCAGTGAGCTTTCCCTTACCACCGAGTCCACGCACTGTCTTCTTCAGTTTTCTGAGGCGGCAGCCAACACAGTTCTGGACATGCCCAATACATTTCAGTTTCTTCACACTGTCCTTTGCATACATGTCTTTGACAGCCGCATAGCTCTTGGAATTTTTCGAAACCGAAACCACAGTTGAAAATTTGGTTTCGGTTTTGCTATAGGAGTATAGGGTATAGAAAACTTGCTGTAACTCGCAAACTAATGACGCTAGGAGGATAATTTTTGTTGCAAAATATATGTGAATGTTTGGGCGTGCAAGAAAAACAAAACCCTAAAACTTATTTTGCGAAAAAAAATGACTTTTGAAGGTGGCCTACTACCTTACGAGCGCTGGATGACATACCTTGCAGTGCACAAAGCCACTGGCCCTATTCCGAACCACTGCTGGAAGCATCCTGTGGACAAACTACCTTCTCATAAGTGCCGCGAGTAAGTACAATTCAAATGTGCATGGCGTACAGTCTGTTGTGCTTGGCGTATATAAAATAGCGTAATGATGGTGCTGTTAAAGTTCCGCTGTTATAGCCTTACACAGCATGAGAGTTTCAAGCACAGAGGTTTTATATAAATGAACTAGTCTTTCGGAATAGTATAAAAAAACAATCACAATGTTAAGGGCCGAGCCAAATCAAGTTTTTGTCTATGTAGTGTGAGGGCACATAGACTCGTACCATCCACGTACACGTATCATGACTTGGGCGATTTTGAATATAAGTGCTTTTATTCAATGTTGCCATAATATTAGAAGATGGTCAATATTACCCAACACTTGCCACCATTTTTAACTACCAATACCGTGTTGACCACCGTTTGGAGATAATTCGCGAACATTAGTTAACACTAGCCAGTGCGAACCCGTGCTGATTGTATATGAATAAATATGATAGGCCAAGACCATATTTTCACAACTTTTCCCCGTTATCCATAAAAAGTTAACGGCAGGTGGGAGATATGGGGAAGGGTACGCAAACGCGATAACCACGTGTGATAAGCTCCACTCTAGAAATATCGGGAAAGCTACAAGGACGACTACCACGAGTGCACTTGCCCACTTCGCCCAGGCAATAGCGACTATAGTCGCAGTGCAAGTCTACAATAACGCGGTTATGGACTGTTCCGGTCACTTGGGCCAGCTTCCTTAATTCAACCCCCTATGCTGTCAGCTTCTCATTTCATTGGTAGGGCTACGAGGTAGAGAATATATTAACACTTTGTAGGCCCACTGGCAGCACAAAGCGTTCTCAATGGTGTGTGGCAGGAGAACGTGCAAGCTTTCTCGCGCTATGCTCCTTTCATCGAAACACACCCATACTCTCACACGTGGGCGCCTTACAGCCGCCAGTTTCCTTTTGATGTTCATTTCACCGCCTCTATTAAGCTAAAATCAATTCCGATAGTAAAATGCGGTGTTTTCTGCGCCTCCTCCTTATACTCGTACAGAAAAAAAATAATTAAACAGTCACATCTTTTTATAAGGTGCTGGGAGCTTGTTCGTATGCAAGTATAAAATGAAAAAAAAAGTAAGTCAAGAATGTGTCTATGTTAAAGGGACACTGAAGTGAAATAAAGAATAAGTTTAGGCTGACAAACTATATTCTATTGTCGCTAATCTTCTCAGTATTGGCTCATTATAACAAAAAAATAGGGGTCAAAGTTCAGTTTTAAAGTCTGCGCCGATATCTCCGCACGTGATGCCGCGGGTTTTAGAATGTTTTATGCACATTTCATCCACACTGGCTCGACAAACTATTCTGAAAAATTGGTATGCTTTGCCATGTCCGTGGTCGCCTCATAGGGCAATTTACTTCATTTTCATCTTATAGGAAGTACGTAGTCACTAATTGACGTCATCAAAATTTTTGACGTCACAATTACTAAAGCACGAACTTCAATGTGGCGTTGGCATTCAGGTTTTTTAGTGCATTTTCTCGCTTACCGAGCGTCTTTTTGAGGTAATCATAGTAATTTCAGTGTTGAAGAACAGAAACTTACTAATACGCAAAAAAAAAGGTGTTTCACTTTGGTGTCTATTTGAACAATGCCAAAATATATAACCATGCGTAAGCACTTGATCGGGATAATATGTGTGTTTTAATGGTGAAAGGGCAATGCGTAAGCCCTTAAAATCACGCCTAAAATTATAATTGGGAACAAAGCATTGAAACCAAACAGTTATGTGAATTAAAGAATGAACACGTCTAATTGCATGTGTATAGCTGGTGGAATTCAACAACAAATATTTGCTGTTAATGAACACCCAGTGCGCGCAAAGCATACCAAGAGCAGTCCGATACCACTTGAAAGCATAATTCTGTTTTGCTTTCTTCGTTGATCAATAGTTTATTCATGAATAAAAAAAGGCTGAACTCTTATTAACGCAGAAAAGCTCGCCTATATTCAAAAGCGCAGAATCGTACGAATCAATCTTCAAGCTCCGGCCTATCCCATGCATTGTGGAAATATATTTGATGTGAAGCGGTCGGCCAGTAGTATCCGATGCCAGATTTTCTCTTTTGGCCAAGCCAAGCCAGTGGCATGTTGGGAGCTTTGTGTCCGGGCCTTCAGGCGTCGCGTCCATCGAAACGACGATAGCGCACCGCCGTGGTAGGTAAACAAAACCGAAGCCCTTTTTTTTTCGACAATTTTATTTTTAAGGCTTCAGAGTCGTAAGCATTAAAACCGTTTCTCATTTATTATGGGCATTCAGAAGCATGCATGCTACCAAAGCGTAGAAAATATGAAAGTGGCGCACTTTAGGTGCCAGCATGGACCAGAAAACAGTGGCACCGCACTGCTCGGGAAGAGCACGCGGATATATTGA